GTCCCCGGGTTGGAGACAGGAGTTTAGGTGGGTGCTAACTGGGCTCTTCCACGTCTAATGCGTCTGCTCCTAATTGGTCCCTTGCCCGCCATGCGGGTAGGCGATGGCCACCTCCTGCCCACCCCAGCACTGATCGCACCGAAGCACCCCCTGCGGCCGAGGGAGACGCGCCGGGAAGGAACTGGTAAGTGGAGCCAGCCAAGCGGTGACCCCAGGGGCCAGGCCTGCCCCTCTGAGAGGGGACCCGCAAACCCAGGGGGGCAGCGGCACATGGCCGCCTCCCCGCCCCCAGGGACATGCAGCAAGCAGGGGGCTTGTGGGGAGGCCATGGGGCTGGGCCCCAGGAGCTCTGCCACCTGTGTGCCTGGGGGCAGGTTCCTGCATCTCTCTCTGGGGCTGACACTCAGATGGGCAGCGCCTCGGGGCTCCACACAGCGCCCGCCACGGAGCACCCCGCTCTCCTCTGGGGGTTCCCGAGCCTCTGGGCAGGGGGTGGCGCTCCCCCCTCCCCGGTGACAGGCACTGTGGTGCCCCCGCTCTGCTGTCTGGCCGTGCCCAGGGCAGGCATTACCCTGCTGGAGGTGCGGAGACTCGTAGCCGGGTCCCTCCTGTGGACGCCAGCTTGGTGCTGTCCAGCTGCCTGTGGGGCAAGAGGGCAGCCTGGCCAATGCCGACCCATGGGGGGGCCTCAGTACGCCCCCCCACCTGAGAACTGCCAGGCTCTCAGCAGGGACCCTGGGGGGCTCTGGGACGGGCGGGTGCTGGCCAGCGTACCTGGTATGGCTGCCAGCCAACGCTGCGTGAGGGGTGGGTGCTGCAGGACTGTCCCCCCGTCAGGTCTGTTTGGCACAATGGGGGCCCGATCTCAGTCAGGTCTGGGCAGTGCCTGGCACTTGGGGTGACTCTGGTCCCCTCCTACCGGCTTCACCCCCCCAGCCTGTGAGCCGTGCGTGCCGCTGGGGCATTTCCTCCCTCTGCCACGCTACTGGACTCTGCTCCCCGCTGGCCTGGCCGCTGGAGGCAGCCTGCCTCGCTCAGACCAGCACCGGGGAATGGGGTGCCCTGCTGGGGAGCCCTGAGCCGCCCTGCTCTGGTGAGGGGCCAGCTAAGGGGGCTCTGGTGGGGTCGGGCGGGGGGCGGGAGCTGGTGCTTTGCGTTGCCGAGGGCCCGATTCCGAGCCCCTGGCGTGTGGACCGGCCCCAGGCACTGCCCGCGGCTCTGGGGGGCTGGCACGCGCGGTCGGTGCTATAAACAGCCCTGGGAAAAGCCGTCGCTGGCAGCTGGAATTGTCGCCTGATGTGCTGGGGGTTTGGCGCCAGGGCCGTTCCCCTCCTTCCCGGCACTGGCTCTGCGTGTGTGGGCGGGGGGGGGGGCGAACGGCCCAGCTCCTGCTGCGTCTGCATGCCAGGGAGCGGGTGGAGAAGGGTTTCTGTGCTGGGGGAAGGGGGGGTGGGCATCAGGACTCCTGGGTTCTCTCCCTGACTCTGCTAGAGGAGTGGGGGCTAGTGATTAGAGCCAGGGGCTGGGAGCCAGGACTCCTGGGTTCTCTCCCTGGCTCTGGGAGGGGAGTGGGGGCTAGTGTTTAGAGCCGGGGGCTGGGAGCCAGGACTCTATCCCCACCTTCACCCTGGTATGTGCCTCAGTTTCCCCACTGGCAAAGGGGGCTAGCACTGGTGGTCTGTGCGGGGGAGGGGGGAGAGGGCTGAGTTCTCCATGGTGCTTGGAGCTCTTTGCACGGCCACGCCACTGACAGGCAGAGCCCAGCCCTCGCTGCTCCCAGGCCCTCTTGTCCCCTTGTCTTCTTCCTCCCTTCACGGGGTGCTGGGTCTGGGTCAGCGTCTCCCCCCAGGAATCCAGGCGTCCTGCACGTTCCCCCAAGGGGGTGGGGCTCCGCTCCCCTGGGGGCAGCGTGGGAACGGGGTCAGGGGTCAGTGTTGTTTAGAGGCAGGGATAAGCCCAGCACCAGGCCTGAGATGGGATGCGGGGGGCGGGGCGGGTGGGGAGCTGCTGCCCTGGGGCCGCCAGGGCTGTGAGCCCAGAGAGCTGGTATCCAGGACCACCCCCTCCCCCAGGGAACTGACGGAGCCTGGGGGGTGGGAGCAGGCTGCCTGGACCCTCTGAGCGGGGCCAGGGGTGGCAGCAGTCGTCTCCAACAGAGATTGCTTCACAAGGAAGCGTTGGGGGTAGGAGCAGGGGGCTGGGAGCCAGGACTCCTGGGTTCTCTTCCCAGCTCTGGGAGCTGAGTGGGGGCTGGTGGGTTAGAGCAGGAGGGGCTGGGAACCAGGACTCCT